GACTTTTTGAGGGGAAAAAAAACATCCTCCTGATTAACATCAACCATTTATGAAAATGAAGTAAGTTGTCTTAAAATGACATTTTGAGGACATGGTCATTAACTGTGTGTCAGTCATCTTCTAGGTCAACACTCCTCTTTACCCCATTTTGCAGTACTGTCACCTGGCTCTCCTCCCTCTCTTGCTTCAGGAAGTGAAGGGCCTTACCTTGCTCAGCCAGGTAAAGGGAAGCAGAAGTACAAACTACTCGTTTAGTTGCAAAAATGCAAACAGCATCGTAGGAGAAACTCTTTGTGCTTTCACACAGCCCACACAAGCATTAGCTTAAAATATCACTGTAATGTATTTTTCAGTGTCACTTGCTGTTTATTCTGCTTAATGATCCTTTTTTTCCCTGTGTGTGTGCACAGAATTTCAATACTGCTTTAGAAACAGATGATGATGGGAATATGCAGTTTAGTGGCTACAGTTATTAGGCTAATAAACAATGTCCTGTTTTGAATCTATAACTGCCATGCTTATGAACAGATATAAAGATATTAGTAATAATTTAGGCAGATAAACACACTTGAATTAAAGCTGTTGTACAATAACATTCCTCCAACATACAAATACAAGCAACCTGCAAGATCTCACTCACTTTCACAAACTACTTTGCAATGAAATGCTGTAGCTAACAAAAATCAAATGAAATACATCAAATGACATACACAGAAATGCTAAAGGACTTCTCCAGAATACATAGTGAGCACGCAGAGCCTCAAATCATCACACCCTTAGTTTAACACATTTCACATGGCTTACTACCATCTACAGATAGCACAGGAAAAAAACCCAGTCCTTAATAAATGATATGGTTAATCAGGCAATTACAATTATAAGTACTTGAAAAATGAAACTAAAATTAAGAGCAATACAGACCCATACTATTACAGTCATTGACACTGAAACCACCAAAATTATTTGTTTGTGATGTTATCTTCAGGTGGTATTTCATAATTTCCTTCACTACTTCCAATGAACCAAGCTGTTAGTGAGTCAGTGTCTGGTACTGCTGGAGGTTAATCCTAGAACGGTTTAGGTTGGAAGGGACCTTAAAGCTCATCCAGTTCCAATCCCCTGACACAGCAGGGACACCTTCCACTAGAGCAGCTTGCTTCAAGCCCTTGTGTCCAACCTGACCTTGAACACTGCCAGGGATGGGGCAGCCACAGCTTCTCTGGGCACCCTGTGCCAGCGCCTCAGCACCCTCACAGGGAAGAGCTTCTGCCTAAGAGCTCATCTCAGTCTCCCCTCTGGCAGGTTAAAGCCGTTCCCCTTGGCCTGTCCCTACAGGCCCTTGTCCAAAGCCCCTCTCCAGGTTTCTTGTAGCCCTTTTAGGCACTAGGAGCTGCTCCAAGGTCTCCCTGGCGCCTTCTCCAGCCAGAATCAGTTCACCTCTCTCAGCCTGTCTCCAGAGCAGAAGTGTTCTGGCCTTCAGAGCATTTTCCTAGCCTCCTCTGGACATGCTGCAACAGCTCTATGTCCTTCTTATGTTGGGGGCCCCTGGGAATACAGCTAGAGTTCTGTTATTTTTTCCAGAGCCAGGGTTGTTAATAATTCAGGAGCACAGAGCTGAAATAGAATGCATTGCACTGGGGATAACCTTGACCCCTATTTTTTCCATCTTACAAAGGCACAAGGGAGCACCCAAAGTTGTTGCCCCTTGATGTCTCCACAGATGGGGGGGGGGGAAATGTGTGGCTTTGTTTTATCACTCCTTATACAGACAGAAAATAAGGTGCAACTTCCCTAAAAGCTTTCAGGTGGGATAGTAGTTTAAAGCATCCAGTAAGCATGACAGGGCTAACGATCACTTCTGCAAAACAGAGGCCCCCGCCTCCCACAGGATTCCACGGGCAGTACATGATACTTGGCTTCATCCAGAGGTCAGTTCTCCCTAGCTCAGAAGCTGCTGGAGACAAAATCACTGCCTGGCCTGGGGCGAAGCAGACTGCAGTACACCACCTGCAGGCACACATCACGATTTTTGTCTCACAGTGTTTCACTGCATCCCACAGAAGGATTACTGTTGCCATGTAAAAATGTTCTCTCGCACATTGCCAATCTGTCACAAAAATCCCTTCCTGACTAGAACAAGCAAGCAAATAGAACCAAGGTGAGAAGGAAAGCCACAAGTTTCAGTACTTAACCAACTTTTATGCTCATTTTTATTTCTATTAGCTTGACTGCTATTGTTGCCTAGCGAAAAGCCATGCACTGATTGATTGTAAGTGTTGCCTGGTAATAATCTCTCAGCAAGAAAAGGGAAAGCCTTTGTGTGGTGATGACTGAGCTGAATGCAGCAACAGGTCTGAAGGAGACACCTAGAAATATCCAGCTATTTCCCTGTTCTTGTTGGAAAATAATCTCTTGGATACAGATGCCATGTTTGTAAAGAAGCTTAGAGGGTGGAGAAGGGAGGCTAGCTCCACTAACACACTGCAACAAGTAACACACATTCCCTAAGCACTTCCAAGTGGTTTCACAGCTCAGTCTCTTCAAAACTAAGCAGTAAGGTTGGTGTGTGTCATGTCGTCGTGTCATGTGTCGTTCCCCTCCCCCTTGGTTTGCTTAAACATCAGTATTTTCGGTCAGAATCCAGAGGAGGCTTTCCAGGAGGTAGTTCGGGTCCGATACAGAAACAGAGGACATCTGGTGGTGTTTAGCTGCCAGTGTACACTAACAGCAAGGCAATTCGAGTGTGTGTGCAGCTGCACCAGCAGCAATTCATATAAGCCACGCTTTAAATAAAACTAGTAATAAAAAGTTACATAGAACTTAAGGTAACTGCAGAAACAGAGTGAAATTTCTAATGACCAATATAAAAGAGCTTCTGATTCCAGCTGCTGCCACTACCATACAAAAATTACTCTATGAAGAGTTACACTGGTTACACATAAGGAGTAGCTTCTCTATGACCGTAAGAGGCTGCCACGTCCAACAGACACATGCTATGGTAAAGCAGGAGATACTCCTCACTACTGAAATACTAGGGGATGCAAAGTTGTCAGTTTTGATGGTGGAATCTCCATGGAAGCAAGAGCAGGGAAAGAACCACATGAGCTTACTCTCAGGAAGCAATACCACCACAAGTGAGGTGCGTATCATCACCCAAACCACAGCATTTTTGACACTGGGGGAAAGAGCCACTGGTCTACACACAGGTGCACAGGGGAACTGAGCCCAGTTCCAAACTGCCACATCAGCTCCTGGATTGACAGACCATAAGCATTCAGATTTCCATGTCGTTAGTGAAAATTGTCATTTTTAGCTGAAGATGGGGTGACTCTGAAGATCCAACACTGAGACTTTCTGTAACATGATGCTTAGCATACGCTTTGAGTGGCATAAACCACTTAGACTTCAGACACTGAACAAAGTCAACCTCTGTGAGACTCCTTCACTCTAAGAAGCTAGAGAACATAGTGGCAAAGTAGGAACAAGGCCCACACTTGCAGATAAGCTTTCTAGTTACATGGGGGCCGTTCAAAGTACGTGATTTATTGCTAGTGGCAAAACCAAATACAGGCTTAAGATCAGACTCCTGTCGTGCTCTCTCATGAGAAATATACTGCAATAAGTATTCAAACGTACTTGACTGAAAAAAGAAGAAATGAAAGCAGAAGACAGCCGTGTGACATACAGAATATTGTATCCCTCCTTACATAACTTTAATGCATGGAATCAATCACAGCCAAGACTCTAAGCATGAAAATCTCATTAAAAAAAAACCAAACAAATCCCAAGTACTTGTATCTTTTGAACCAACACTGGCAAAAGAAGAAGAAATCTCATAATCTCTTGCTTGTACCAGCGCAAGCATGTGTGGTAAAGCACACTGGTGACCTGCTTAAAACTAGACTACTTAGAAAGATTAGTTTTAAGCTACATCAGTTCCCCAATCTGTTCTGATATGCAGCCACAAAACCACCTACACTGATACAAGCAGCTAGAAGAAAACTGCTCCCTTCAACAGCAGTGCTGGCTGAAAGTGTAAATGAAACTTAAGACCTTCTGGTGTTTATAGATTTTCTTACTAAAGTTAGCAAAGCAAAAGTTAGACTGAAAAACAGATTAGAGACCAAGTTCAAAATCAGCATGAGACATAAGATAACTTTACAGGAACTTTCAGGTAAGCACTTTAGAGCCTCTCAAACTTTTGTCCCAGATCACAAGCTATTTATTAGTCTCAAAACTAACTGCACTATTGGAAACAAACCCAATTGAAACATCAGTTATAGATACAAGAAAAAACCTTCTGATACCACCTAAAATACCTTAGAGCCAGCTAAGGAAATAAACCAATGAACACATTTCCAGACAAGTCAGAAGATCAGGGCTTTAAGTTACACCAGTAAAATCCACCTTGAAAACCTCAAAAAGAAGTTTTGAGCTGGTGAGTTAAAGATTGAGATGGACAACTCCACAATACTGCAACAACATTGTTCCCTAGATTTTCTTTAATACACAAATATACAAGCAAAAGTGCTCCAGATGTCATTCCCCCTCAAGAGCTTGCTTTGTTACCTTAAGTATCAGACAACAGTATAACTTCCTTCTGAAAAGATACCAGTCCATTCATTTTCAAGCCAGCTTTACTTATTAGAGTAACTGCATCCTAGGTCAATACCACCCATTAAAATATACTTAACAACCTTTTCCTTTTGTTTTGATTTCATGAAATTAAGCTTACATTAAGAAGATAGAATAAAAGATACCTATTTTTCAGAGCTCAGGGTTTAAGACTCCCAAGCAAATAAACATTGTAAACTCAGTAACTTCTCAGAAGCGTGACATTCTTTTACTTAGCTCTGACCAACTTTCATTTAGTTAAGCTCCTGGATACAATTTAAAGGCATGCTAGGATGGGGTGTGTGTGTGGGGGGTGTGTGTGTGTGTGTGTCTTCCTTATTAACTAATAATTTATAACACTTTATCTCTATTAAACATATTTATACCTTCTCTTTACTCATGCTTTTCTCCAGATGATTCTAATGGTGTCATTGTTGTCCTGCTCTCTTCTGATCTCCAATAAAGCCAGTGATGAAGAATTACAGATCTCTTCTTTTCTTGAGTTTGCAGGTAGCTGTAAAGAAGGTAAATAGAGTTTGGAAAATAAACTTCATTAGTGAGTGAGTGTAGATATTTTGAAAGCTTTCCCACTAAGCTTTCTAAGTGGTGATAGAAAGAACTAGTCGAGCAATACCAGCTACCAGCAGCACCTTTCTTTGTCAGCTACCAAATCAGATTATTTGCTAACCACAACTTGTCTGCTGAGCATAGAACTTGTCATTTATAGCAGCCTGCAGCAAACACAGCCCCACGACTCTTCTAAATTTCAACAAATATACTAAAAAAAAATGGAACATGTAGTAAAATTGTTCACACTGGTGCTTAAGAAAGTGTTAAATAACTAGTTAAAAAAAAAAAAAAGCTATATAAAGCCAATACTAACATGGGTGAAGCGTTGTGCCACAACATTTTAGTCAGAACAAATATCAGCTATTCCCCCCCAAATGTTTCTTTGGCTGCTTCCATAAGTTGTGCTTTATAATTAGATCCTCCTCTCAAAAGTAAAGCAAAACCTTTTGCTAATCTAAGCAATACAATGGAATTTTGAATGTGAACTGAACAAATCTACTGCTCTTTATATTGTGTGCCATGAAGTATTTAAAACACAAATATTAAATATAATTAATATAAAGTAATATGTTAATATAATAGAATCCCAGACTTGTTTGGGTTGGAAAGGACCTTAAAGCTCACCCAGCTCCAACCCCTGCCATGGGCAGGGACACCTCCCACTACAGCAGCTGCTCCAAGCCCCTGTGTCCAACCTGGCCTTGATGCCAGGGATGGGGCAGCCACAGCTTCTCTGGGCACCCTGTGCCAGCGCCTCAGCACCCTCACAGAGAAGAGCTTCTGCCTAAGAGCTCATCTCAACCTCCCCTCTGGCAGGTTAAAGCCATTCCCTCTTGTCCTATCACTACATGCCCTTGTAAATATTCCTCTCCAGATTTCTTGCAGGCCCCCTTTAGGCGTTGGAAAGCTGCTATGAGATCTCCAGCATCTGTTCTCCAGCCTGAATGTAATTAATGATATACTATTAATACAATAATAATAATAGTAATAACCAGTGCAGAGACACTACTACACAACATACAATCTAGTGGAAAGCAAGTGTCTCCAAACTCCAGCCATAGTTGGACCTTTGGGAGCTTAGTATTCAGAACAGTTCAGTTACTTACAATGTATTTCTAATTAACACATGATTATTTTCTACAATTTATCTCTAATAGAACACATTCCTTTCAGTATACTACAGTTTTTCCTCTGCAAGTGAGTATTTTGGGGGGAGACTTCAGAAGGAAGGGTCTGGTTCTCTGGGGAATTTGGAGAAGAAAAGCTCGGAAGTGCAAGATGTGATGCAGTTGTATGATGGCACCCACCTCACACAGTTCTGTATTATTTGCCAGCAGTAACAAGGATTGTTCTCCTGCCTCAGATACTCCTTTCCAATATGGCCAGGCTCACACAGAAGCTAATTTATCATATGCTACTTTATCATCACAAAAACATTGGTATTGACGGAGACTTCACTATGCATATCTAACTGTGTTTTCTGCAACAGATCCTTTCCTATGTGGGTTTTAAGCAGACATTACGAGTCCAGTGATGTCTAAAGAGCTAACTGTGTTTGAAGTTTAGGTTGGCAATGCCTCAGACTGGATGTGGCCTGCCAGAGCAGCATACAGCATAAAGAACGCTATAAAACCAAGGAAGAGAAAATATGACCCTTAGAAAGACAGATGCAGAAAACCATAAAATCATGTGGAAACTAACAGTCTTGTGAGCCATTTTTACTCATTTATCCTCTCCTTTGTTTCAGATGTGTTTATTGGGTAGGACTTGTAAAGTAAAGAGAGGCAGCCTCAGCACGAGGAGAGTGTGAGACAACCGTGAGCACAAATGCGATGATTAAAGGCTGTGGGCTGTGTTCAGAGGATGGGCGATGTGTGAAGGAATACAAAGCTGGTGACAGCTCCTGAGGGAAGCCTCGGTGCAAAATATGAGGGGAAAAAAAAACCACCCCAACCCACAAAAAAAAAAAAAAAAAAAAAAAAGAGGGAAAATGATCGAAGAAGGGGCACAGAACTGCAGTGACCTAAAGAGAGTAAACTGGAATATGGATGGGGGAGGGAAGACTGGAAAAGTTAAACCCATTTGATGAATACCGAAGGAGGACATGGAGCTGTTGAAGCGAGTCCAGAGGAGGCCACGAGGATGATCAGGGCTGGAGCACCTCCTGTATGGAGACAGGCTGAGGAAGTTGGGGCTGTTCAGCCTGGAGAAGAGAAGCTGAGTGGAGACCTCATAGCAGCCTTCCGGTATCTGAAGGGGGCCTATAGGGATGCTGGGGAGGGACTCTTCATTAGAGACTGTAGGGACAGGACAAGGGGAACGGCTTTAACCTGCCAGAGGGGAGACTGAGATGAGCTCTTAGGCAGAAGCTCTTCCCTGTGAGGGTGCTGAGGCGCTGGCACAGGGTGCCCAGAGAAGCTGTGGCTGCCCCATCCCTGGCAGTGTTCAAGGGCAGGTTGGACACAGGGGCTTGGAGCAAGCTGCTCTAGTGGAAGGGGTCCCTGCCCGTGGCAGGGGTTGGAGCTGGAGGAGCTTTAAGGTCCCTTCCAGCACAAACCAGGCTGGGATTCTATGGTGCTATCAATATCACTTGGCTCAGCCTACCGGGCCCTCCTGGCTCGGGCAGGACAGCGCAGCCTCCGCAGGAACTCGACCTGAGGCGCACCGGCGCCCTCCCCCTGACCCCCCAAGGGGCCTGGCCGGCGGCACCGCGCCGCCCGCCCCTCGGGGAGGCCGCACACACCGGCCTCGCTGCAGGAGGCTCCCGCGCCGGCCGGCAGGGGGCGCTGTGTGCCGGCGGCGCCACCGCCGGCTGCGGCCGCGCTTCCCCGCGGCGCCGCTGTCTCAGTGGGTAGGCGGGGAGCCGCGGGCCGGGCCGGGCCGGGCCGGGCCTTGCGCCGCGCTATGGCGCTGCCGGCGCTGTCGAGCTCGGGGGTGAAGTTCCGGCGGGTCCTGGCGCACTTCCCTCAGGAGCTCAGCCTGGCCTTCGCGTACGGGTCCGGGGTGTTCCGGCAGGCGGGGGACAAGGCCGGGCCCGGCGAGGTGAGCGCGGCGGCCTCCCCCGGGCCGGCCCGGCCCCGTGGCTCTCCCCAAGCCTCTGGCGTGTGGCGGGGGGGGGGGGGCCACGCTTCCGTGAGCGGCGGCGCCGTGCGTCACCGAGAGCCGGCTCTGGGCCTGAAGTGGCGGCGGGACCTCCGGGCCCCTGAGCGGGGGCGGTAGAGCCGGAGCGTGGTTCAGGGCCCTCCAGCCCTGTGTGCGCCGGCGTTGGGCCGCCCCGCTGCGGGTTAGAGCGAGTTACGGCTTGGCTGGGCACCGCGTGCTGGTCACCAGCGGAACACGCTGCAAGGGGCGTGCTTGGCGCTGCCTCAGCGTTTGGGGTCGGGTTGCTTGGAGATAGTGATTTGATTTTATTATGTGACCTTTTAGAACTCGTTAATCAGCAGCATTGCTCGTTATAGCTGCCTCTTAAGCAACTCCCCGCAGACGTGGTTTCAAATGTGCCTGATTTTCCTTTCTGAAAAGAGGAAAACATGATAATAAGACTATCAGAGCTCTAACAGCATCTCGTCCTCCCACGAAAGAATGTGTTGGGGTAAAGAAGCAAACAGACTGTCTTTTTAGTAGTATTAACTGATGAGCTGAGGTGCTGCCTGGCATCAGTAGACCACAGAGAGAGGCAGGACTAATGAATGTGAAGCAGTGTCGTTGTAAGTATTACTGTTGTGCAGGCGTATGTCGTAACTTCCATCTGCTGTGTCTGTAGGAGTTTGTGTGGACTGACTTCTTCAGAAGAGCAATGCACGGCTTGTACCTTACAAGCCTTTGGGGCTTGGATTGTTCTATCAACAAAGGAAATGAATGTACCTGAAGTGCGGTTTCTTGCTCAGATGCCTTTACCCACCCACACCTCCCTGTTCACAGCCTTGTGTATCAGCAAAAGTCCTGTTTGTTGGCAGCCTAAGCTGTTAGCTGAGCTGGGAACTGGGATGATGCAGATCCTCTCACCTGCTCCCTTCTTTTGAAGGGTTGAAGGTTGGTCCCTTGACCAGGAGAACAGGAATATTTAGTCCATCACTGCTAGGCTGGTTAGAAAACATGTAACTTCATCAGAACTTTAACCTGGATCTGACACTAACACATGTGGTTTGGATTTATTACAGTTTTACTCAGGTGAAAAATAATTGGCTGGAAGTTCGATACTGTGTATACCTTAGATCAATATGGTTAATACTGGTTGCTTCCTGACACAAAAACCCCAACACTTCTCTCCTTATCCACAGAACAACATGCTGGACTTTGTGTTTGCTGTTGATGATGCTGTGACGTGGCATATGATGAACTTAACAAAGAACAGGAGTCATTATTCCTTCCTAAAACTTTTGGGGCCAAAACAGATAAACAGTGTGCAGAATTACGGAGCAGGGATTTACTACAATACGTTAGTGCCATGCAATGGTAGGGTAAGTACAAGTAGTTTGAGTAAGTGAAGTCAAATTTTTCTGTGTGAAGTATTGAAATAATGAGCTTAAAGTAGATTTCTGTGCAGGAAGTGAATCTGGTGGATTGTAACTGATTCATAACTCGTATCTACAATATTTATGTCTCAAAACCTTCACAAACAGCCTATTAATTACGAAGCAAACAGAGCAGCTGCTCTTGCACTTTAAAAATGCGAGCAATGTTTGTGTTTTCAAACTAAAGCACTACAGAAAGTGGTTTTATATTCCTTATTACTTGCTGTCTGGCAGCTTTGGTGGTTGTAAAGTGTATTGTGAGGAAATGGGGCCTTAATTTTAGCAGTTGGGCATGTAATAATTGCCAAGTGGATTCTTACTGTTCGACATAAAATGAAAGTATTTATCATAGCAAGTTGAAATTTACATCTGTGTTTAATGGCTCAGGTCCTGACCTGTGAAGCTTGGGTATGATTAATAATTCTAGGTAAATAGTACTTGTTCAGCAAGTCCTACTCCTGCATCTACTTGTAGACTGTGTTTGGTAAGGAGAAGTGCAGATAGGAGTCAGAGGAGGGATACGCTGCGTCTGTCAATCTTGGTGTTGATTCTGAGTAACTTTTGCCCTGTGGTAACAAACTGTACATAGGGAAAGCAAGTTCTTTTAAGACAGATGGGAAATTAAAAGAAATGAAGGACAGGCATGGAAAAATGCCATGTGAGCTGAGCAATATATACCTAATGGAAGTTTCTCGGGACATGCATGATTGCAATAATGTTGGATATATGTCAGAATTCTTCCTAGAAAGTTGGAGAGTTAGATGAAGTAGTCTTTTGCATACTTGCTATTTTGGTTGAAGGCATCTGTATGAGGCAAGAATTTGGGGTTTAAACCTTATTCGTTTGGTGTAAAAAGGGATTTTAGTTTTAAGAACCAGGGATCTTTGCTATGAAATTCTGTCCTTGGCTCTATGCCCTTAATCGTACAGTAATGACCTGTCATATCACTGTGTATGAACCTCTTTTATCCAGAAATTCTGGAGCTGGCTACCTTGGTGTGGTGATAATATTTGGAAACATAAATCGGTAACAAGCTGTTGAAAGTTCATCTTTTTCCAGTTACATAAAATAGGCTACAAAATCACAGTTTGTTTTCTAACATCAAAGAGCAAAAGAGAAAAGTCCCTGCTACACACTGCACACCCCCCCCCCACACACACACACCCCCCCCCAACAGTACACAGAAATGTGTAGGGGTTTTGCTTCTTTTAGGTCTCTGACAAACTATTTCTTGAGAGCTTTCAGTATCATGAAGGATACTGTGGATCATATTGTATCATTTGACTGGTAGAAAACTGATTGTAACCTTTCCAAAATCTTTTCATAAACAGTTGTATCTCAGTGATCAGATCTGTTCTGTTTTAATGTCTGTCTAGACTAGGTTTCTTTGGGATTTGAAGTCTTTTGCTGTAGTGATTGATTCTGAAGTGACTTTATTGTAACTTTGATTCTAGAAAGGACCTGAAAGAGTTTTGTGCATTCCACTTTTTTTTCCCCCATAAGTTTGCATGTAAATAGCACTTTTTTTTGTTCCTGTGTTCATAAAACCATAAATATGATTTCTTGTTGTGCATCCAGTTTTTCATTGGAGGTGTGTGTTCCTTAGAATTAATGATAGTTCCAGTGAGTAAGTATCATGTAGTGAAAATGGTGCAGGTATGTGGTTTTCTCAAAAGCCTTTGTTTTCTTTTTTTTCCAGATGATAAAATATGGTGTAATTAGCACTGATACCCTGATTGATGATTTACTCCACTGGAAAACCCTCTACGTGGCTGGACGCCTACAGAAGCCGGTAACTGTCGGTCTCTTCAGTTATCTGCCTTGAAATGCAGGAAATCACAGGGCTGCAAAATTATCAGTTGTAGTTTTAACTTTTAACTGTTAAGGATCTGTGCATCAGAACTGAACAAATAACCTGCCCTGATTTAGGAGTCTAGGCCTAGAGGGATCATCTCTCAGAAAGGAAGTGAAATGTTGTCCTTAATGATATTCTGTGTTCTATGGAAAAAGTCCACCCCCGAAGGTAATCACAGTTTTCTGCCTGTAGTAAATCTCAAATAACTGGACTATGTTAACTCCAAGTCCCTTTCATGTTTAATGCCATATTTACCTTTTATAACAAATTATAGGAGTCACCAAAATGTAACCCGAGTAATGGAAATCTTTAGAGATGAAAGCTGCTTTGCTGTTCAGTTACTGTCTGGTTAATTGTGTGAAAAAGTCTGTAACTGACTGAACCATGTGTTAAACATGTTGGGTTTTCTCCTCCATGTTTGTGTCAAAAAATGAGGCCTCTACTTTTCAAGGGAGCCTGACTCGTGCTTTCAGTAGATGGCAGCAGTGCTAAGCCCTTCTTCAGAGGAGAAGGGGGGGAAGAACTCTGTTCAAGCCTTATAACAGGAGTTAATTAATGCTTTGAACTTAATATTTGAGGTGAAAGTTTGCATAGATTGTCTCAACACTACTGGCTTTTCTGTGTCTCTGGAGACCTATTACAGCATGATACAAGTTAGAACAGCTGTTACCTTTATAAAGCATGAAACTTAATACATTGAGAAAAATAACTGAAGGAAGAATTCTGAATTTCACATTAACAGTGAGTAGTGACTATTTATTTTCAGTGTAATTGCATTTTTCTGCTGCCTTGCTTTATTTTAGGCTTTTTCATCTTAAATTGTGCTTTGTATCTTTTGATTAAGTTCAGTGGGAGTATGTACTTGCACGAGAAGGTGGAATTAGGTATTTTGTTTGATGGCTAACAAGACAGCAGAGATATATTTGTGCGTATTTAATAGATAAAAGAAGAAATCGGTCCAAATTATTTTCCTAATGCTCAGGGGAGTTTGCATTCAGTAAAGACTACAGGACTTACAGAAGGGGTCTGAAAGAATACTTGGTGAATGTTTAAACTGCCTCTTCCTGTAGAAGCTATAAAATCACTAACTGGGATTTTGAATGCTACACCATATTGGCCAAAAATGACCAAATAATTTGTTTAGCTCTGTGGTATGGATGTCAAATGTCTGCTGGTTTTGGCTTTGCAACTGATTTGATGTTTGATATATATGTTATAAGTGGCAGTGATAGAAAGCTTGCTTTACCCCCTGAAAAATATACAGTAAGCCTCTTTTAGAGGGATCACAGGGTTAGGTTTGTTTTCTGACGCATTATAATCTCTGACATACCATTTACCGTTTGTGCCAGTTCT